AACAAAGATGTTGTGTCCACCAAAAACTAAAGAATAAATATTAAAAAAAAATAAAAAAATAAAAATAAAAAAGAAGTCCACAGTCCCCTTGAAGCACTTGCTTTAAGCTATGACACTTTGAATTAATGAAGGAATATTTAGAGAATTACTGAAACCTCAGAAACTCTCTAAAGTACAACTTTTTTTCCCCCAAAGAAAAAGCTAATAAATTGTCCGGAGGTTAGTTTGGGATTTTCTGGACAGTGATTCAGCTTGCCTTCAACAGGAATTTGGAAAGGCAACTGAACAAGCAAGAGTGTCCCTTCTCTTCCAGGAGCCTACTCTAGAAATGCCTGCAAGGCTGTGGATGAGGAGGACTTGGTTGGGGAATCCAAGATTTCTAGCTGGGTCATTGCTTCCACCATTTCAAAGAGGAGAGCTGCTCATGGTTTTCCTCTTAAAAAAACGGCAAGTTTTCTTGGTCTCTCAGGAGGCATAGCATCACAGGGTGGCCAGTACCTTGCCAGGGAATTCTTGCCTGCTGGGAGGGATAAGCCTCCTGAGTAATTAAAGTCTAGAATAACTAGTGAAGAACAAAAGACAAAGAGTCAGAAAGGACCGTTTTAAAGAGTTGGAGCCCCTGATAGGTCCAGTCCACAGGGGCACTGGAGCTAGACAATTAGAAAATGGCTTTACATCAAAGGCGAGGGTAAGGTTTCAAGGGTGGAGTCTTGCATCCTGACACCTTGCAGTCAGCAGGTTGATTGGCATCTTGGCAGGTCAAACCGATCTCAGGGGGCTGTGCGGTTGGGTGGTTGTAGCAGGTCACCCCATCTCTGGTGCTGTGTGGGACCAGGCATAGCGGAATAGGGCTCACATGTGTCTGGGCAGTCAACCAGAGGAAATGTCCACTGGAAGTTCCCAGACACCAGATTATCCTATTCACTAGTCTTCGATGAGCAATACAGTCCACATACAACTCACAGGCGACTCTCAACAGTATAGTGTTATTTAGAAACGTGACATATAGATGTTTTATTTAGGGGGTGGTGGGGACAGTAGGGACCGAGGAGTTTCCAATGCTCCACCAAGACTTTCCCATTATGTTGGAAGAGGAGAGGAGAGCTGCTCATGGTTTAGTTTCCCCTACCGTGGAGGGGTTGCAGATTCTGGTCCCTCTTGCTCTCTTGAGAGGCGACTTCTGAGCTCCCCTAACATCTCTACAAGCTTTCTGCTGTGGAACTGTCTCCATGGTAACGCTCAAACTCAGTGGAACTCGGATCCACTCTGCACATATTAATCGAGTGTCATGCTAGGCTATAGGAGAACAGAAAAGAAAATCTAATTCACCCTTTCTGACAGCTTGTAATTTTACCGAGGGGACAAGACCTACTGAGGCACCCAACAGAGAAGAGCAGAGAGCAAAGAAGGAATAAATGTTCACTGCGGAAGCAGCAGACCCTGGAAAGGTCTTGTGCAACCCCCGTTGTTGCCCTCTCCCCTCAGCAGTGGATGTCAGCCGTCAGGTGATGGTGACTGTGATAAGTTTGTGAGCGATCCCTGTGAAAAACAGCCACAGTGATGTCGTAGGAATCTAAAAGGACTCACCAGGTTTGGATATGTGACCTGTGCGTACACGGTGCTCCCTGGAGAGACTGACGTGCACTCTGTGTTCTGTAGAGGCTCTGCTGTTAAGACAAAGAGGCACCATCAGTGGCAGAAGGACTTTGGGACTGCTTCTCCCAGTACCTGGCCTTTTCCGACCATTTTCTGTCCCCAAAGAGGCAATTGCCCAAGCCTCCCTTTTCCTTAGGGCTCACTTGGACAGTTTTGGGTTGAACCAGAACCTTCTTAATCATGTGTTTTTTTTTTTTTTTTCTAACTGCCTCTCTTGAGTGGGGAGTGGTCTTGAGGTGCCCTTGGGCTTCAAAGAGGTGTCCTCGGGCTTCGTGTGTGAATGACTTAAGTAGCACTATCTACAGAAGAGCTGGGGATGCTGTGAGCAGAATGTAACCAATTATTTCCCCGAGGAAACATGGAAACATGGAAACATGATTACACCTTCACAGGCCCTTAAGGTGAATTCGATTACATTAGAGACGAGGAACGGCAGGCCCCCAAGTCCCCACTGACTTGTGTGAAGTCACATGGGAAGTGATGGAACAGGACCTCGAATGTGTGTCTTCTGACCCCAGTCCTCGGGGCTCTTTCCTAAGCACGATATCCCGCATCTCTGACTCAAAGCCAGTTTGAGCCCAGAGCCTGTACTTGCATCTCTGGATCACACTTTCTTTTCCCACCGTGTCTATCCATGGTCCAAACCCTGGTTAACCAGCAGTGATGCAGTCACAGGCAATTTGGTTTTGAGTCTTGGATGCTCATTTTCTTTTTTTCTCTGCTCAGAAATTTCTGGGTGCAAATGGACGGGCTACCAGCCCTTTCACTAGAGCAAACTTCTGCATCAGAAGGGAGGAGAGGGACTCCGATCTCACTAACTGTGTGAGGTCCATGGTGCGTGCTTGTGAGCTTGCACCGCGGGGTGCATCTGAGTAGTGACATTCTGACTTCCTGCCAGCCTCCTTCCTCTTTCTGTCATCTTTCCCTGCCTGCTTTATGATCAGCAGTTTAAAGTCTGGGTGCTCACCAGGATGCTGAGTTTGCTGAGTATGCAAAGGGAGGGAGCCTGAAAAATAAATAAGGAAATTGAAATGTTTGAGAGAGGCCTTTTTATCCCCCACCCCCCATAGGTGCCTCTCTAGAGGATGTGGAGGAAGGGGCCCCAAAGGAAGGGTAAGTGGGCCAGTGGACCCTGAGGCGGGCTCCTAGTTCTCCCAGTAGGACACCTCCTTTAGGATGTTAGCAGGTGCTCGGTGACACCCCTAGGATCGTCCCTGCATAGCTGAGCTAGGGTTTGCTTGCTCTCCACCCTTCACCTGTTTTCTGTAAGAGATTCTTAGCAATCAGAGGCCCCAAACTCTAAATACCTGCAGACCTGGGAGGAGAGACAAGGAGGGAGAAAGTACACCTGCCTGTTCGGTTCTTCCAAGCCCGTGAAGCCAGTGCGCACGCAATGATGAGTATGGCGAGGAGCAACGAGGCCACTAGAATTATAATCAAGGTTCTGAACCCGTTTACATTTTTCTTAACACCTGAAAAGGGGAAAAAAAAAAAAAAGAAATGGAACTTCTTCAGACACCTAGAATGAGTACTAGAGTATTTTTCTTGGGGCCCTCACAGAGTCTCTTGTGTGCATCTGAACCCAGAGTTCTGGGACTCTGGCAGGATCCTGGATGGTGAAAGCCCTGCTTTCTGAGTCCTTCCCCCACGGCCCCCTTCAGAGAAGGGCTTGCAGAGGAGGAAGGAGGAGGGAGAGACTAGGAGGTAGTGAGAAGCACAGGGCCCCAGAAGCTGCCTGCCACCCCACCCTTAGCTGCAGTTTGGCTGTTTTGGGATTCTTGTAGGGTGTGGAGGACATGGCACAGCCCACAGTTGCTCAAGGCTCTTAGAGACACCTGAGGCTGACTGTTACCTGTGCAGAGACTCTGGGCAGTGACCGAGGACGATAAATTGCTGACGGGGTTCTCAGCTATGCAGGTGTAGTTCTGTTCACTGGAACTAATGGGGTCCCAGGAGATGGTGAGGTTTGGTTCTCGTAGAGAGCTGTTTTCTGAGAGCTTCCACCCGAATGAGACAGTATCATTTGGATTCTCCAGAGAGCAGGTCAGGTGGATCTCACAGGTGCTATTCCCAGACAGTTGAGTGTGATGGGTAACTTGTAAGTTCCTCAGTGGTCCTGGGAACAGAGAAGAGACGTGGGTTAAGGAGGAATGACTCAGTTCAGACTGCTCTAAAAATTACTCATTGCATTTCTGTTTTGATATTTCACTTCTGCTGTATACTATGGCCTGTATACTCTAAAAGACTCTCCTTGTATCATCTAATTGATGGTAGGAAAGTCTGGGGTGACCAATGAAAGAGACTTCAGTATGAGACGGAGTCACCGGAAAGATAAATGGGAAGGGAGAGACTATCTGGGTAATTTGGGACTGGTCTCTCTACCTTTCTGGGCTCCAGATTAATCCTTGGGGTATCTTCTGATCTGTGAACAATACCTCTCATAAAGACAATTTAGAGGCTGGGGAGCACATAAATGCAAATATATTGTCAATTTTTTAAAAAAATTATTTTGTAGTTGTAGATGAATAGCATGCCTTTATTTTATTTATATATATTTTTTAATGTGGTACTGAGGATCAAACCCAGTGCCTCACACAAATGCTAGGCAAATGCTCTGCTACTGATCTACAGCCCCAGCCCTACATTGCCATTTGAATTGACATAAATGCAGAAATTTCTGAGACCAAAGACTGGAAAGTGTTGCCCAGAAGAAGCAGCTGTAGCCTCGAAGTGGCAAGGAACCAGGGGAGACATGAGAGCAAGACAAAAAATGGCCCTAACCTAGTCTTGACCTGGGGATAGAAGTAAAGGTGATTCCACAAAGAACAGAATGGCTCTGACTCTCTGTTTACAAGAGACTGAGTGATGCTTTAAACTTAATTAACTGAAGGGTGGGGGTGTCGCTTAGTGGTAGAGTACTTTTCTAGCATACAAAGGGTCCTGGGTTCAATCCCCAGCACTGGGGGGAGGGAGGACTTAACTGAGAAGTTATGGAATTAAATGTACTTATAACTTGCTAGAATGGAGTTCTTATGTACTGGAGGAGTGTAGGATTTGGAGCCAAGAAAATCTGGGATAGGATCATGGCTTTATTGTTTGCTACTCACATGACCATGGACAGATTATTAATATGTCTAGGTGATCGTTTCCTTCTCTGGAAAATCAGGCAATAGTACCTACTTCTCAGGTAATTATGAGCATGAAGGGAGACAGTGCCTAGCACAGGGAGGACAAATAGATGGCATGAATGTCATGGCTTTTGTCCATGGCTGACCTCAAAAATATGTCCTGCTACTTTTTCCCACATAGTGAATATACACCTGTCTATTTGACATTTACACCTGGATATGAGTATTTCACAAACTCGGTATATCACAAAGTCTAAAAGGACTTCTGTTTTTCTGTCTAGAATCTATTCAATCTGTACCCTTCCTTCCCCCACTTAGGGATAATAATTTCATTCCCTCGGGCCAAAAGTCTCTGGCATTATCTGTGACGCATCCCTTCATCTCATACTCAAATCAAAAAAAGTTCTGGTGACTTGTCCTTAACATATATCCCGAATCCAATCTCTTCTCACTGCCTCTGCTGCTACCACACTGGTCCAAGCCAGCGCCAACTCTTGCCTGACTTATGGCAACGGCTTCCTTCTTGGTCCAATGGCTTCTCAACACTGGAACCAAAGGTATTCTTTAAACAAAGTCAAAGTCATACTGATTATTTGCAAAACCCTCCAATGGCCCTCAATGTCACTGACAATAGAAGCCAAAGTCTTTGTGGTGATGCTCAGGACCTTGCAATGTACATCCCCCTATTTCCGTTCTGACCTTATTTCCTGTTACTCCCTCTTTCACTCTGTTCCTCATATTCAGCCTCCTGGATGTTCTGTGAGCATGCCAGGCACAGGGGAGACTTGCGAGGTGTGCCCTTCCTCCAGATATCGGGATGGTTCACTCTCTCACGTCAACAGACCTTGTCTCATATTTCAATGAGGCCTATTCTGATCACGCTCTTTAAAATGGACTCCTGCTTCCTGGCACTCCTGAAGCTCCTTATGCCGTTCTAATTTCTCCCTTTTCCCCATAGAACTCATGGTTTTCTTGCATACGCTTGTTTATATAGTACATGTATTATTTATTACCTGCCTCCATTCCCTATCCAGAATGTCAGGGGGCGGGGAGGGATCTTTGTGTGTTTTGCTCACTGATGTATTTATTCTAAGTGGCTAGAAGAGTACATGTGCATTATTTATGGTCCACATTGACTCAGTAGATAAACCTAACATGACTTCAACATCTTTTTTTAACACTAAACTCTGGTCAGTTATTCTTCATTCACTGGTATTGGCTTATAATGTCAATCTCTGCCATCCTTATCCTCATGCCTAGGGACGATTGGTCAATATTGAAAAACAGATCTAGCCATTGCATTTTGGAAATTCCTTTTCACTCTTTGTAAAGCGAATTGCTGTAGCTTACATATCTCTTTGTGTGTGATCTTTTGAAGGAGAAATAATACGAACTAAAAAAAAAAAACATTTAGGGTAAAAAGCCCTGGAAAGGGATTGGCATGGAGTCCCAGGAATGGGGTTGTTGCAAGAGGATTCATGCTTAGTTTTCTCCACTGTGTCAGGACATTGCCTCGGCAATGTTGTTGGGCTCTCCCTACTGTGAGTCTCAATTCTCTTCGGGGTATTAGCACTGCCTTGATGGTTACTTGATGATCAGGGAGGGTGATCCTGTCCATAAAGGCTAAGGATACCTCCCAGAACCTATGAATATGACCTTATTTGGAGAAAGGGCCTTGCAAAAGGAATGTGGTAGATAAGGAGGTAATCCTGAACTTTCTGGGAGGCCCTAAATCCAATGATGAGTGTCCTTACAAGATTAAAAACAGAGGGATATTGAGACAGACGAGGCAAAATCACAGAGAGGAGTGATGTGGCCCCAGAGACAGGGAGTGGGATGATGAGGGATGCAACCAGAAGCTGGAGAGAACAGTCTTCTAAGGGCCTCCAGTGGGAGTTCACTTCTGTCCACAGCTGGATTTGGGACTCTCAGTCTTCAGAACTTTGAAAGAATACAAACAGCCTCAGAAAATGAATGCCTTGACCTGGTACCATTTTTGCCCCTTTAGTTGGAATCTCTTGCTGAGAATTTTTCCAGACACCCTTTTTCCCTCCTACAACATTTACCTGTTCCATGCCGTATTATTTCAAGGACATGACTTTGACTCCTCTAACATGACAGACTCATCAAATATCCAGGGACTGTGCACTAAACGTTAATGAGCGTCCTATTTGTAGAGAAATTCTAACAATTTTTTTTTTTTGAGATAACATCTCTTAATCCAAAGGCTTCCAGGTGAATTTAAGACCTCGTGGGATCTCTGATAGGTAGTAATTATACAGTCTCAGTGGTCTTTAAAGTTGCCTAGTCTGGTGGCCAACTTAATGCTTGAACCCCTTGTAAAACACTTCTGGGAAGTGATTTTTTTGAAAAATAGCCTAAAGTCATTTATGGCTCTTTGAACATCACTGATTACTATATATTTTCTTTTTTGATATAAACTTATACATTATCTCATTACAGTTTCCTTAATTCTATGTTGAGGATATTTTCACTGTTTCATCTTGGGGAGGCATTTTTCCTCCCTAAAGGTCAACGTGAGCCATCTGGGGAAAATATTGTTAAAGGTCAAACAACATTGACAGAAAAGACTTTTCTCTTTATTGCCTCACCCTCACAGAGCACTTCCTAGGTCGACCACTGTTCTGCACACAGACCCCTCTCTCGGGTCAGTCTAGGCTTTGGGTAAAGGGAAGTATTGTGGCAGTCTGGTTAGGCGGGAAGTGCTATCACATGCCATCTCTGTGACTGTAGGCAAGTTCCTGTAGAACCTTGTGGCCAAAATGATGCCTCAAGCAAAAGGGTTGCATCTCGTGGAGACTTTGTGAGGGTCCCACGCCAGATACATGTGGTGAACATGTTAACGGCATTATAAATATTTCGCGTCCATCAATTCTACTACGTTTCTGTTTGAAGGGGCCCTTTTTTTATGGGACAGGGGGAGGGGAGGTGATGCTGAATGGACCGCCATAAGACAGATCTATTCTCAGCTCTGCCACTATCTGGTTGTGCAGTGTCATTGAGTCGCTTCTCCACTGGACCTCATTCTGACTCCGAATGCCATCCTCTTTACCTGTAGACTAGAATACACACTTGTAGTCACATAGGATTGAAAGATCTAAAAATTTTTTTTTTTTTAGTATGTATAAAATGAAACCCCACATTTAGACTCACTGAAGATCCTCAGAGTGTAACAGGAAACCGTTGGAGAAGGTTCTGTGTTTATCTGGGCTTCGTAGGATCCTGCGTCAGTCATCGTCAGGTTGCTGAGGTGCAAGGAGTATGTCTGGGTGAAGTTCAGTCGCTCTTTCCAGTTTTTGAAGGGTACCACGTGTTGTAGCTTTCCTGATTCATCGAGGTGTATGTATGCTGCGTTGATTCCATTGTGATTCCAGCTGATCACGTCGGCTTTCTTATCTGCAGGAAAGTTCAGGAGGAGAGTGACTGACTTCCCCAGAATCCCGTTCACCATCCTTGGGGGAGAGGTGCATCGTGAAACTGCTGCATTCCCTGTAAATACAGAAGGAAAGGGTTATAAAACCGTCCACGGCCATCTTCCAATTCCTGTGCCTCTTCCTCCATCTCTGACCATTTGTTAGAGCTCTTTTTTTTTCAAACTGAAGCCCAGAGAGAAAATGGGGAGAGAAAGGGTTAGGAGTCTGACAGTGGATGATCACAGCCCCAGTGGCTCCACCTCCAGCAAAACATCTGGCACTCTTGGTGGGTTGGCAGATGATCCTGGCCCTGGGCCCACTTCTAGACTAGCCGGTCATTCCTGGGCCATGACCATACTTCATCATCCCAGCCCCTGAGTATCACCAGCTAGCCAGGCTGGTGACCTGAGCTGGGTTCACAAGAGCTGGCTACACCAATGACTTAATAAAATGGCGAAGAAAACTCGCAAGCACACAGAAAAGACCTTTTCTAAATCTGAGATGGCTCTCGCCCTGAGATGGAAAGAGAGCGAGCCACCTGAATTCTTTTTATTTTTTATAGGGGGTGCACACAAAAGGAGGTTTTCAATGGAATGTTCTTTCCAAATAAGGCAAGGGGGCAGGTTTCAGGGGGTTGAGTATGATGTCTTGAGGTCAGGAGATTGATCGGCATCTTGGCAAGTCACACCTGTCTCAGGTGCTGTGTGGGAACACAGGCGTAGCAAGAGCAAAGTGCACATGTGGGTGGCATGGCCCAGAGAACACGCAACAGTTGTGTTGCAGGCCAGTCCTCCTATAGGCTCAAACGAACTCATTCGCTCACCTACACAACCCATGGATGGCCCGTGATGCCTGAGTCCATAGGCATCAGGTGGTGAGGAACATGGAACTACATCAACTCCCTGGCGCAGACTCTAAAAACGTCAAGTCTTTGCTGATGAAGTATAATTACAGCTGGACATTTACTGATTGCCGACTGTCCATATAGTATGCTTGCTTAATTTAGAGGATTAATAACAGATTTACTGCATACATAGTTTTCCACGTGCATTATTTCATTTGATGCCAACTACAATTCTTTGAGGCTAATAGATTGGATTATTATTTCTACTTACAAATAAGACCTAAGACACAAAAGTTATCTAGCTTTCCCAGAGTTACACGGCTCAAGAATAGTAAATCAGCATTCAAACCTAGGTCTTCTGACTTCAACTACTTTTATTATTTTCCTGCTCTCAAAAAGATTTCAGCCTAGGGGCTGGGGCTGTAGCTCAGTGGTAGAGAGCTTACCTCGCACAGGTGAGGCACTGGGTTTGATCCTCAGCACCACATAAAAATAAATAAAATGAATAAAGTGAAGATATCGTGTCCATCTTAAAAAAAATCTTAAAAAAATATTTCAGCCTAGTGATTGAGGAGTTTAAACTGATAAAAAAATTTTTAAAGTAGCACATCATGGATGCATTCTCATAAGCCCATTTCAGAGACCCAACATTTGAGCCAAAAGAGTGAAAAAGTCTTGATTCTTAAAGATGATGTTTGTGTCAATGAATAAGTCACCATAATCAGGGCTTCTTCTTGGGATCTTTTACGTCTCAGGAAAGGAGCTGAGTGTGTGTGTATGTGTGTGTGTGTGTGTGTGTGTGTGTGTGTGTGTGTGTCTGACACTCAGCTCCTAGGGGAGCTTGCATTTCTGTTTCCTTTCCTGAATTGTCACATGGATTCCATGCTGCCATCACCCATTCCCCTCTGCACTGCATCTTTCCCATCAGTAATTCAACCCACTGTAATTTGTAGTCATCTTCAGCCCTGATCCCTCTGGGAATCACATGGGTGAATATCACCTGCTGAATCTTTTGTTTTATCTTGGGGTTTATTTATTTATGGACAAGCAAAATTTTGAGCCACATTCAGTCACATACACACACACACACACAATGTTATGATCCCATTTACGTGAAGTTGTAAAACAGGCAAGCAAATCTATGCTGTTTCCTTTGGGAAGGAGGGAGGTGAATAGAAGGGAACATAAAGGGGGGGGGGTCTGAGGGGCTGGTGATGTTTTGGACCTTGACCTGTGTCTGGCTATATAGGCATTCATTGTGTAGTTCATTGAGGTAGTAATGAGGATTTGTACAGTTTTCTCTTTGTATTTAGAAAAAAATTAAAAACAACAACACAGCCCGAATGAAACCTAAACGAAAGAAATAATTTCAATAACCCATAAAGACTAAGTGATCTGGCCATTTTTCTCTTTTCTGTCTAAATTTCTGTCATTCTCCTTTGTTCATTTTGCTTCAACTTGCATGGCTATTCTTCAAATAGACCAGGGATTTGCCCTTGTAGTTACCACTGCCTGAATGCACTTCTTCCAGGGAGATATACAACTCATTCTTTTGCCTTCATAATGTCTTTAATACAAAGGTTCCCTCTGCAAGAGGCCTTCTGTGACCATGCTTTCTTCACTATCAACCTCCACCCATACCCAGCTGCCTTTGGGTTTACTTCTCTCCACAGTACTTATCATGTGGTATATACCAGAACACACAAATGTGCATTGGTGTTTTCTTCCTCCCCTCCACTGAGATTGAATCTTCATGGAGGCAAGTTCTTGTGGTGGTTTGAATCTGAAATGTTCCCCAAAGCTCGTGTGTTAGAAACATGGTGCCCACAAGGTGCAACAAGGTTTGAAGGTGGGTCTTTAAGCAGTGATTGGGGTCATGAGGGCTCCATCCATTGATAACTGAATGGACTATGGGAGGTGGGACCCAGCTGGAGGAAGCAGCACACTGGGGTAAGGGTTTATCTATTTCCCAGCCCCCTTCTCCTTTCTCTCTCGCTCTCTCTTCCCTCGCTGCCATGAGCTGAGCACCTTTCTTCCTTTGCATCCTCCCACCATGATGTTTCGACTTGGAGCTGGTCAAGCATGGACTAAACCATGAGCCCAAATAAACCTAAGTTGTTCTTGTCAGGTATTTTAGTCACAATGGTGAAAATCTGACTCATACACAAGGATTTGCCTGTCTTTTCCACTGTGGTGAATATTTGTGGAGTGAATGGACACATCTCTATCCCTCCTCTTGGGGGTTCTCTGTCCAGGATGTTAAGCTAAGTTCTTCTTAGTAAGGACACTCGATTTATCTAGTGGCTCAAGTACTTACTCACCAGGAACTGTGCCTCTCTGGCATGGCATACTCCTTTAAGATCCCTTGCTTTTATAGATTGCAATAATTAGCTTATTTAACAAGTTATTTATTCTATGATTTGCTCAGTTCTATGCTAATTCAGTGAGTAAAAATTTAGAAATGAGGGCATGCAGACCGTATTTATTAGTCTGTATTTCTGTCTCTTTGTTGTAATTATGAGATTATTTTCCTCCCTTTTCCATAAACTTGAGAGAAAACATTATGCTTATTTTCTCTGGATTCCTAGTACTTAGCACAATTTCTAACTTAATAGATATACTTGTTTCCATATTTCACCCACTGGATGATATGTTTCTGAGAATATGAATAATGTCCTAGCACTTTATTTCCCCAGAATCTGGTCCAGGGGATTCAGAGAAAGCTAGGTAGATTGAGATTAGTGTGTCATTTCTGAGAGGAAGCCGGGGTAGGGTTCAGGAGCACAAGTTGAGGTGCCAGTCATGGTAAAAAAAGAAGGAGACTAAAGATCTCAAGGGATTTAAATGTAAAAAGGGCAGTAAGATTGATATATTTCACATAGATTGTCTTTAAAATTATAAGAGAAGTAGATCTGATAGGTCCAGGAAGAAGATGGATGCACATGGATCATTCTCCAAAATAGATCATAGTTTAGGTTGCAAAACAAATCTCAATGAATTTTAAAAAACTCAAATCATGTTTTCTCTGATCACAAAGGAATAAGACTAGAAGTCAAGAACATAAGAAAAATTGGAAAATTCATGAATGTGTGGAAATTAAGCAACATTGTCTAAAACAACTAATGGACTAAGGAAGAAATCACAAGGGGAATTAGAATGTATCTTGAGACAAGAGGAAATGATGAAAACACAGCATTCCAAAATGTATGGGATGCAGCAAAAGCAGTGCTCAG